AAGATCCATGATTAAATTGCATGAGGTACATGAGACAAAATGCCTCTTGGTTTGTGACACAGGAAGGAGGGATGTCACCATCATAGCTGAAACATTGTGAGGCAGCAGCAAGAGGCTGGCTAGAGCTGGGCTCGGATAGAACACCTACCTACCTCACCCCAGGCATCATGACTCTAGCACTTCGCAAATAATTCCCCATTTAATTCCTACAACAACCTTATGCAACAGATTTTTTTTTGGATACAGTCTCTCTCTGTCGCTAGGCTGGAGTGCAGTGGTGTGATCTCGGCTCACTGCAACCTCCACCTCCCAGGTTCAAGCGATTCTCCTGCCTCAGCCTCCCGAGTAGCTGGGACTACAGGCACATGCCACCATGCCCAGCTAATTTTTGTATTTTTAGTAGATACAGAGTTTCACCATGTTGGCCAGGATGGTTTCGATCTCTTGAACTTGTGATTCACCCACCTCAGTCTCTCAAAATGCTGGGATTACAGGCATGTGCCACTGCGCCCAGCTGATTTTATTAGTATAGCCCCATGTTTTCAGGTAAGGTACACCTCTGACACACAGACATTTGATAAGCATAGAGCAGTGGCACTTTGGTTCCGGGATTTGGGTTTTAACCACTAGCTTATACTTCTATATTCTGCAGCTAGAACCAAAGAGCACAAATCCCAAGGCGTGGTAGCAGACCCACTAAGACCTGATCAGGTAACCAGGAACACGTCAGAGAAGTCTCTGTCTCTACCAGAGAGCAGTTTTCTATTTCAGGACTACAGCAGCCCACAACAGGGCCATTACAGCATCCACCTTTGATGTCCCCTGTCTCACAGGATAGAACAATTCTGCATCTCACCAATTCCTAAGATCAGAGGGGTTTTCTCCATAAAAGGCTATGTAGATTCTTTCTATAAATCTGCCTTCACACAACCACATGCCTGGTAGTTCTAGGAATAAAAAGCCTGTTTTTCTGCAAATGGTGTAGAAAGGTGGCAGTGTCTGAGAACAACCGAACAGTATCAAAGCTGCTTCCTCTGTGCAGTTCTGAGGTGACCTTGGCTGATCTCTGAAGTATGTGCTGAAACTGAAATGGAGGCTTTGACTGCCATCAAGGGCAAACCGCATTCTGCACTCAGTATGCTGAGTACCATTTTCCCCTGCAGCTTGCTCCCTTACAACTTACTTTCCTCCCTTGCTGCTTCAAAAAGTGTGTGAGAAACCCTTTGACAGAGCACGCTGATGCTTGCACAAAGAAAAGAGAAGTAAAGTTGCTTTTGCACCTCAACTACACAAAAACAAATCCCTTTACTGGCTCCCCAAGTCCCCCAGTGTAGCCCCTGGACGTCTCTGTCTGGATGGCTGCAGGCTAGGACACCAGGCTCACCATTTCATTCCCTGAACTTCCTTTTCCCATCTGTGAAAAGAGGATCTCAATATCTTGCTTAGTACTCTCCAGGGCTGTTATGAGGCTCAAATGAGATAATGTATGTAAAGCACTTTGTAAACTGTAAAATGCTTTACAAATGTAAGGGATTATTATAAACCACAATACAGTGATGTTTTATGCTTTTATAAAACTACTGGCTGGAACTGCTGTAAGGGGAATCCCTCTGGTGATTTTTATTTTGGAAACAGGAGGACTTAGGTTTGCCTCCTTGCCAGGAATTGGATTCCTGGAAGCAGCTGTTTATTCCATTTCGCTCCGCGACGCACATATGGCCACAGCACGCCTCCTGCAGAGCTGACAATATGTACTACTGTGTTTGAGCACATCCACGGAAAGCGTCCTTTCTCCACCCTCACTATTTCTAACTTGCCAAGTCTAACACCTAGGAAATACAGACTTTCACACCGCATTTCACCACAGCAACATTTGTTTTCTTAGATGAGGTTTTTTCCCCTTTAGCAACCAGAATTTTACAGTCAGACTCTCACCATAAAAACAGTCTTCTCTTGAGCAGATTGAAAAAATTGGATGCTGTTTTTTTCAACTTTGACATGGTTAAAATGATATTAATATTTGTCCCCAGACGGAGCTTGGACCAGTTGAAAAGGATTAAGGTACTAACACGTTCTTTTTCCCTTGTGCCTGCAGTGCACAGAAAGACTGGACCAGCACCGGGTGACGGTGCTCAAGCTTTCTGCTGCAATGGAGTGGAGCACACTGCCACTCTGCACAAATACCCGCACGGAGCAGCATTATAGATAACCACTCACTGCTCTCCGAGGGGTTTGAGATCATTTGATGTCTGAGAACTACTGCTGGCTTGTAAATGTCAAGAGAAATTATGAACATTTGTAGAAAAGTAACTGTTTGACTAATTTCCTGTTCCATGGAGCAAACACACTGCCATATGTATTCAGAATCTGGTGCTGACAGCCAGGCCATGGCAAGCTTCAAGGTTATAGGATCATAAATGGGATTAGATAAGCCAGACAGTGTGGCTCAGACTCCAGCACTTTAAAAATATTATTAAAATCCCCAGAAAGGGCAAACAAGTTTGAAGGGAAAGTAAGATGTAACAGACTCCCACTAAGAGAGAAAAGAATCTTGGGTACGATTACTGGGAACTTGGTAACCGCCCCTGGAGCACTTCTAGAGTGCACTTTAGAATCAATCAACATTTTAGGACATAAGACATAATGCAACAAGTCATGCTTTAGAGCTCAGAAAGATTTTTCTATTTGATTTGATCCATGGAAAAATAAATTAAGGAAAGGACAAAGAAAACTTACTGAGAAGACCAAAATCGACATTAGGAATTTGCAGTTCCGAAGACCTGAATGCAGTGCCCCACCTGGAAGTCTTTGTGTTTTTAATTATCTGCTTCTTTTTAATTGACCAGATTAATTATTTCCACCTTGCTACTTGGCAGGTAGGGTCACTGTTCCTTTTCACGGCATTAATAAACTCATTCAATTTTTTTCCATGTAATTAAGACTGTGAGTTGCAGATCACATTCTCAAATTGGCTTAGTGTACAGCCAATTCAGTCTTTATTAAACAAAATATATGACATCAGGTATTTCCCACTGAAAAAGAGTGTTGAGTTTCTACTGAGTTTTCCTCCAGTTGGGAGAGGAGAGTGGTGACTTTGTTCTTTTTATTTTTTGGAGAAGAAACACAGACCTGTAAAGGTTATAGCATCCAGGGTGGTGTTTCATTCTTAATATACTCAAAGTCTGAAGATTTAAAGGGCAGCTAATGGATTCATATTCAGGTATTTCTATTGCCACCAAAATTCTGACCAGGTCCTTTCATGAGCTATTTGAAAAGAAATAACTTTGGGTATGCCATTAAGTTAGTTAAGTGAAATATATTGCCCTCTTCTGTTAGCTTTATTTCTAGGTCATTTAGGAAACCCTAGGAACGTTAAGAGTTTCTCAGTGCGTTGACTACAGTAGCTGAGCACAGTGCAGAAGGCTGTTTGTGGTGTCCACAGTACTCAAGAGAGCAAACTTTTAGCCAACGCTAACTGTCTCTCAAAGCGTTTGGTTTCATTCAGGACTTCCGGATCTCAAGTTGATTCCCAGAGGAACTTAATTTAGAAGTAAAGGGTAAGGTGCTTTAATCTTTCCAGGACCTGAATGGGATTTGCTCCATCAAGTCTGGCGGAGCAACAGTTTCTCAAGACAGAAACTGATAGACCTCAAGAAATTGACGGACAGACATCTTAATGCTGGTCCTCTTTGACGCTAGTGAAAGACAAGCAATACACATTTAAAATATTAAGAATATTAGTGCATTGTTTTTACATATTAAAAGCTTGTGAGAAATTCACTGTATTGTCTGAATACAATGGGATTGGGATCAAAGGTACAACAACCGGTTTTTTTTTTTTTTTTTTTTTTATTTATTACTTCACTTCCTAGTAGAAATGGAATCTTCTAGTTACAGGTAGTAACTCTGTGACAAATATACTCAAGTATGTAACGTAACAGTTCCTAATTTTTTAATGGAACCTATATTTGGCAATCTTCTGTCCCACAGTTATAAAAGTTTATGGTGTTCTTCTTTTGTCTATTGAGATTCCAGGTGGTTAACTGCTGTATTTCCTTGCAACCCAAAATTCAAGTGTGGTAATGATATCCATGTGCTTCAAAAAAGGTATGTTGGCCTGTGGTTATGTTTTAAATAGGTGTCTAAACACGCATACTCACATAGACTCGCAGAGTCACCTGGAATGGTATTTCATCTTGGTCTCATGCATAGCAGTCTGTGTTCTGACAAAAAACATTCAAAGCTAATTGCAGCGTGGCTTAGTGTAACTCTGTCTTTTGCACTAAAAAGGACAGTTTAAATGCTTTTTACCCATTGTTGTGATGGCCCCAAACAGTGTGCAGTCTTTATACAAAGAGGCCATTTCAAACCCATGTTATAGGCATATGTGGGAATGGTGGGAATGAGAAGAAAAACTACCAATTTCAGGGAGTTAGAGTCTTTGTACTTGCTGTTAGAGTCCTCTTTGTGGCTTGTGCCCAAAGTGTTTTGTGCTGAGTAAAGCTGAAGACTGAGTCTCTGGAAAACACAGTGATTAAAGAGAAATGTGCTCAGAGAAATAAGGCTTTCAACTTCCAGGAAACTAACCAAACTAGGGAACCACCTCAGTGTATTACCAGTCTTGGCTGGGCCAGTTTCACCACAGTGAAACATTCTCAATGACAGTGAGCCCATCTCTTTGTCCCTCCAGGAATGCAATGCCAAGAAGCAAAACATCTGCTTGGGGAAATCTTTGGGTATCATAAAAGTTCCCTGCTCTCCCTTCAACCAGATTTTCCTCCTGCGCTGGCATGGAGGGCTGCCAGACACAGCACTTGGGGAAGCCTGCATACTATGATGGCCAGGTCAGCTACTCTCCATTCTGGAGTCTCATTTTCAGCAATACCTCCCCTCTGTGCCTCCCTGCCTCCCTTTTTCACAGTTAACTTACCTCCTTCCAGGCTGGAGTCTGGATCAGGAACTTTGGAGACTCAAAGGGGAGAAAAATAGGAATGTCTGGGTTAGGTCTTGAGAGTTTATTCCACTGTATGAAATACTCCATACACCATTTAAGATTAACAACCATGAGGAATCTATCTAGTGATTACAGTGCTGGTTTTTGGTTTTCTGATGTTTTGTATAGCATGCTATTTTATGCACAGCAATACTGATATTTTTATTGGTGTAATAATGTTATTTTGGCCATCAGTTAACTTGGTTCTCTCTTTCCACTTCTACCCCACCTATCTCCTACCTACCTCCCACCCCAGTCACTGATACCCTCACCACAAGCCCCATCAGCCCCTTTACCACTCAGCTTTTGTAACTCCTTGCCTTCTTTACCCCAAAACCCAATGGCTTAGCTGGATTTGGTGGGAGGAGTCAGATCTCCCTGCCTGGGAAGTGGAAGGGTAGATCCCAGGTGGGCATATCCCTCCTGGTCAGCTGGAGAGATCACACTGCTGCAGCTGGAAGTTTACTGGCCAGATTCGGGAGTGGTGCAGATGTGGTGGGCCAGAGAGCTCCACTCAAGTGAGCCACAGTGGCAGGAAGGGCTGAAATCCTGCTGGGCCACAGACTTCAAAGGCAGCAGCTCCAAGGGAGGCACCAGCCAGGGTCAGGGCAGGGACTGAAGGGACAGGAAATTCCATCATTTACAAATTACCTAGTCTATGGTGTTTTGTTACAGCATCACAAATAGACTAAGACAGTGGGGGAAGTATAATTTTCTCCCAGGAAGGAACAGCAAATATTTTGAATAATAATACAATCTATCATAAGCCCCATTATCAAACAAACATATAAAATGAAAAGTCTGGCAGAATGAGAAAAGTTACAAACATTTGTCATTATCAGGGAGAGAAAGCTTGACATTTCTTTGACAAATATAATTCATCAATATAATTCCCTCTATAACACAAGACAATCTAGAGCCACGTGGTGGAGCTCAGCAACTTGGTGGTGGATACAGTGTGGCCCAGAAAGGAGGCTGTAGCTGAGAAAGAAGAAACATCACAGATCTAATGAGGCCAGTGCTAAGGGGAAGGTGGCTTTGGGAGCCAGGATGTCTTTGACCCTCACCTTTTTGGCTACATAATTTCCCATTGACCTCACTTATATTCAGCTTGTAACCTAACACAGGAATCTCCTTTCAAGATCAGGTTGAAAGGGCTGATATATCTCTGCCCATTTGCTTGAGACTTTGATAGCAAACAGCTCTGAGCAGTCACTATCTCCTTTACCCACCACCACCTCTGCTCCTCAACCAGAAGGCAGGGAGAACTGGCTCATCCTCAGGCAGATATTTCCATATCTGCTGGGATTGTATTTAGTGTAGTCTGTCCAGGAACCAGCCTGAATTCTTTGCCTCTTCCTCTAAGGAAGAACCCACTCATCATGACCACAAAACTTTTGGCTTTGCCTGGAGACAAATTTGAGCTCTGGTTAAGACCCTGGTAGGCTCAACTGTAGGTTCTCACACAGACCCACTGATCCCTGGAATGCAACCTGAATAACTGGCAGAGGGGCACAGCAGTTCTCAGTTATGACCTTCTGGACCCTCACACCCAGAAACACTTAACTCCGAACCACATGCCCACTAGCAAGGGATGGGTCCTGGTGGCCAGCTGCTTGCGCAACAGGCTGTAATGGAGCTGTGTAAGCAAGCCGGCCTGGACTGGCCGGGCCTTGGTGGCTCTCTGCTCTAGTCCCATCTGAAATGTGAGGATGATTAATTGGAAACATCCCTATTAGAAACTCACCTTCTTGCCATGCCTGACTATTCCTTTGAATGCATTAACCCCACCTCCATGTAACCCAGAACCTTTATGGAGGTAACTGGTTTTGAGAAGGAGGTGTAAAGCTGCCTTAAGCAAAGATGAAGCTCAATGAAATGTATGTGTAAGAAGTAACCAGATTACCAGACTGGGAGAACGGTTTCAAGGTGAAATTGTCTCTAAGGCTGAGGGACTGTGCCCCCACAGACTAGGAGACAGTCAGTGGTAGATATGCAGCTATGTCAGCTAATCCAAGGCAGTGAACAACCATCAGAATCCACTATTATTTTTATTTTTAAAATATTTATCTGCTCAGTATCCTCCCCTCCGAACACACTGTCTTCTGAAAGGAGTTCAACTTCACTGGCCACAAGGATAGGAACATACGACACAGTTTGGCTCAATCATAGGACCGCATACGCTTGGCTCTAAAAGGTGGGTGATAATCTACCTGAGACCAGACAACATCCTCTGTTTAAGTGGCAACTTGCCTCTTGTCCTCTTGTCAGGGACAAGTCCAGATAACTCGCCCTGAAATGCAGGCCTCTTAGGTCTCCATTTCAGGGTGATTCATCTGGTCTTGTCCCTGGCAAGACAGTTCAGTGGCATGGACAGTCACTGAACTCAAGTTTGGCTGATCTACCTGTTTATCGTTTGTGTGTTTGTTTTGACAGTGTGCTGGAACCCACTGCTTATGGCCACAAACCCCGAAGCTTTGCCATTTCCCTTCAGTTATGAAGCACATTCTGTACCCTTGTTGTCCCAACCCATGTTCCTTGTAGTCCACCGTTCTCGGAAGCCACTGGATGTCTTGGCCCTGACCATTTATCATTCAAAAGGCAAGGGCCATGAGAAATGCTAGCTCAGCTCATCCATCTGGACATCCCTCAGCCACTTCTGTCTTCCAGCATCAGGGAGGAAGTGGAGCTGTGCCCCTCACGAGTCTTCTGAGAGATACTCAGTCTTTCTAGCTATCCCTGAAGAAGGAAGGAGTAATCATGTTCTTAGATGTTCCCCTAAGTTGATCTGGGTGTTTCCCCTGATAGCACTCTCCAGGTTGAACCTAAAGTGAAAGAAGAGTTAAGAACACTCAGGTCTGACCTTTTGCCTTTCTTCCTCTTTCCTGTTCAGGAAGGCTTTCTACTTCCCCTTCCTCTTTAATCAGAACCGCGCCTAGGTCATGTCCTCCTTCTCTACATAGCACTTGCCTTCCTCCCCTTTCCCTTCCCTGGGAAAGTGATACTGGTGTGGCTGCAGAGAAAGAAAGTGAATTTCCAAGATAAGAAAACAATTGGAAAGTGTCTTCAAAACAGTGTCCCTATTTCTCCAGCAAAACTCAGCAATCATAGATGAGTCTCCCAATATTTATTCATTCAACGATTATTTACTGAGGAGCTGGAGACAAGTCCTTGCCTGCAATAAGGTCGGAGTTTCATGGGAAAGCCAACGAGCAGCTAACAATTACAAAGATCTCAGCAGCTTCCACTCTGAATGATGTTTTCTCAATTCCACATGTTTTCCCCTAAAAAATAGGGAGAACCTTGACTAAGGGCTGTGTCCTATTCCATGGCACCTAACACAGATGATGCTTTAAAAAGTTTGTTGAATAGGTGAGTGAATGAATGAATAAATGTAAAGGATAGTGTTGTAAGGGCACGCATATAGGGCACTATAAAAACACACAGAAGGGCTTTGCACTTTCACTGGGATGGGGAAATGGGGCCTTAGTCAGGCAAAGAATTCAAGGAGAAGATGATATTTGTGCTGAGTCTTGCTTTTGAGTAAGCATTAAGAGGTGGAGAAAGCACATTCCACACAGAGATACTATGATGGAAAGGATCCCACCATGTCTCGGAAATTTCATGTTGGAACTGCAAATTGCAATACGCCTGGAGTCCTTGTTGGGGACACGAAGCTGGTGAGTGAGCAAGACCTAGCCTACATAGGGCCTTGTATCCATGCAAGCACTGTGTGAAGATTTTTACTCCCAGTGGAGAGGAGTTTTGTCTACTTGTTCACCATTGTATCCCTTTTACCTTTTTTTTTGGTAGAGATAGGGTCTTGTTGTGTTGCCCAGCTGGTCTTAAACTCTTAGCCTCAAGTGATCCTCTCACTTTGGCCTCCCAAAGTGCTGGGATTACAGGTGTAAGCCTCCCTTGAAGTTTAATCAGTTTCTTCTTCTCCATCTCTTTAGCTTACATGTGGTTTCAGCCAGCCATGGCCCAGACTCAACGTCAAGTCAGTCAGCCCTACGGCTCGTGCCCCTGGACTGCCTCTATCATTCCATATTTACTAATTCAAATTTCCAGGAGCACAGATCTGATTGATGTGGCTCAGATTTTCCCAGAGGGTCACATTAGGGGGCAGCCAATTGGATGTCTGTTCTGGGTAAGGTGCCCAGCCTAGGCTGCAAAGGCAGGTCACATGGTACCAGAGTTGGCCATGTTGGCAGAAGGGCTGTGAGCATGTGGCATTCCCTTGGGGGCTGGGTTAGTGAAGCAGGTACAGGACTGACACAATCAGTACAGTCCTCAGAGAGATGGAAGGAAGAGGCCAGGACTGTGTCTTTTTCTGATTTGCATACTCCATGCTTAAATAGTGCTTCATATATGTTGAATCGATGAACATATGAGGGAATATGTGAAATTAATGAAGCAGAAGCGAGTGCTGTTCAGAAGACAATTCCTGTAATGCCAGAACAAGAAGGAGCCTGGACACTGCTCAGCAGCCCTCTTGAACCAGAGCTGTGCCTGGCACACTCTGTTCCTAGATCCAAGTCCTGGCCCCTCACAGGGTGCCCCTTGGAGCATGAGCAAGGAAAAAACCCTGTCTGCCAGGCATTTCACCCAGAATCTCCATCTGGCTGTGAAAACTGCCCCTGTGCCAATGACAGGAGCTTGACCCAAGAGGTCTCTGGCATAGGAGAGGACTTTAGTTGCACTCCCTAATTACTCTCAGGTTTGGCAAGAGTGACTGGAAATGTCTGACCTCTCTAGTCAAACAGATGCTTCCCCTGAGCTCTAACAACCAACAAAGTTGTCAGTTGTATTGAGAAACAAGAAGCCATAATATTATTTAAGAGTCCCATGCCTTTGCTTGAGAGACATGGAAAGGAAATTACTGGGCTTGGACTCAGAAAGGATGAGTTTCAGTTTCAGTTTGGTCCCAGGTAAGTCATTTGACTTCTAAGGCTCTCACTTTCCTTAAAATTGAGGATAATCACTCTGTTTTTCCTACATCTCACTTTGTTGTAGTGAAGCTCAATTTAAATTCCTTTTGAGAAAAGAGTATAATTGAGTGGAACACTGTAGAGATGTGAGGAACTATTACTAGCATCAACAACAATTAGCAAACAAATGGATGGCGATGGGCACATCTGGAAGTAAAAAGCTCAGCTAGGAAGCTGTTGCAGGTCACCAGCCTGCAGGTGATGCCACTTTCAGCCAAGCAGAGGCAGCAGGAATGGGGAAAAGAGACAGAGACCCTCTCTTGACTTTTTGATCCATATGAGGCTAAACTATTTAATAAATGAACTACTTAAGTATAATCAGCAATTCTTTGGGAAGAAATCATCATACTTATCAAAACATTACTTGTTATAGTAATTTCTGAATTCTGAATTTCACTCCTATTTTTGTAACACCAGTAAACATGGTACATATTCTATTATTGCATTCATCGTCTGATTTAATGTATTTGTTAATTTTTTTTTTTCTTTTTGTTTTTTTTGAGACAGAATCTTGTTCTGTCCCCAGGCTGTAGTGCAGTGGTGCGATCTCAGCTCACAGCAACCTCTGCCTCCCAGGTTCAAGCGATTCTTCTGCCTCAGCCTCCCGAGTAGCTGGGACTACAGGCACACACCACCACACACAGCTAATTTTTGTATTTTTAGTAGAGACGGGGTTTCACCCTGTTGGCCAGGATGGTCTTAATCTCTTGACCTCATGATCCACCAACCTCGGCCTCCCAAAATGCCAGGATTACAGGTGTGTATTTGTTAAAATTTTCACCTCTTCTAGATTTGAATCCCTGCAGGGCAATGGCCTGTTGAATTACTATTTGAAACCTCTCTTGGCTCCCAGCATACTGCTTAACACGTAGTCAAAAAGTAATGTTTGATGGATGAATGAAAGTTTAATCATATCACCATGGATTGCTTTATTACTTCTAATCTTTACAATAATCTCACAGGGAGGATATTTTAATTCCCATTTTATAGATAAAGTAAGACTCAAAGATGTTAAGTAGCTAAGTTGCCCAAGGCCCCATAACTGGTACAGCCTAGATTCCAAAGGGCCTGCTCCAGAGCTCACTCGGCCTGTTTCCCCAGTGCCTGGCTGAAAATAACAGCTCTGGGTGGGTATGTCCTTGTAATTTGGAATTTATCTTTAAGTTGCTGAACTTCCATCCACTCCAGCACTTGCCTTGGTTGGACACACATTTCATTGTGGGGAGAAGGGAAAAGGCTTCTGGAAGGAAGGCACTGCTATGAAGGCCATAGGAAGGTTGAGTGTTTAAGACTTACTTCTTCTGAAAACAGTCAGTTTCTTGGCCAAGGTCCTCCTGGATAAAGTCTGATTGAAACTTTTTAGCAGAGCTAAGCAAACTTCATTTCTCTGTGCTTTAGAAAATCTAGCACTTCCCTTCTTGTCCCATGGGGTCTTTTGGTTTCAGGACAAGGATGGCACAGGGCCAGGTCTCCACACCTGTACAGCCAGGAAGGTGGCTGGCAGGGATTGTCCAGTAGGAAAGGAGGTTCTTAACAGTAGTTTAGAATGTATAGTTTATTTTTATTTTATTTTATTTTTGAGACAGAGTCTCACTCTGTCACCCAGGCTGGAGTGCAATGGCACCATCTCAGCTCACTGCAACCTCCACCTCCCAGGTTCAAGTGATTCTCACACCTCAGTCTCCCAAGTAGCTGGAAATACAGGTGCACCACCACACCCAGCTAATTTTTTTGTATTTTTAGTAGAGACTGGGGTTTTGCCATTTTGGCTAGGCTTGTCTTGAACTCCTAGCCTCACCTAATATACCTGCCTCAACCTCCCAAAGTGGTGAGTTTACAGGCATGAGCCAGTGTGCCCAGCCTCAGAATATGTAGTTTTTAAAGGCAGCTTGTCATTAAGAAAGAAAACCAAACCACCGCTTGTTATGTCCATATTATGTTTTTTTCAGTTATCAGACGCACATCCAACCTGCCTGATCCAGCAAATACACTCAGTCAAACATGTTCCTCTACTAGAGGACCCAGAATTCAGTGCTCTTCATAAAACATGATTAAAAATTGCTACACTGAATGTCATCATGCAAACTAGGGCCAACTTTCTACTCAGAGACAATTGGCACCAGGCACTAAAGATTTAAGGATATTTAACAAAACCCAGAGAGTACAGAAGAGTACAAAATGATGAGTAAATGTCTCCTTCCTGAACTGCCACTCATAAGGAGCCCTAAAGTGAACCCTGAAAAATCTCTGAATTTGCCTGGACCAACCAGTCCATCAATCAGTGCACACTTTCTTCTGAGATATGAGGTCAAAGATGAGTCTCAGGCTGGGTGTGGTAGCTCACATCTATAATTCCAGCACTTTGGGAGGCTGAGGTGGGTGGATCACGAGGTCAAGAGATTGAGACCATCCTGGCCAACATAGTGAAACCCCATCTCTACTAAAATACAAAAATTAGCTGGGTGTGGTGGCGCGTGCCTGTAGTCCCAGCTACTCTGGAGGCTGAGGCAGAAGAATTGCTGGAAGCTGGGAGGTAGAGGTTGCAGTGAGCCAAGATCGTCCCACTGCACTCCAGCCTGGTGCCTGGCAAAAGAGTGAGACTGTCTCAAAAAAAAAAAAGATGAGTCTCTCCCTTCCCTCCCCTTAAGTGGAGATACATGCACATACCTACAAGGAGAGCTGATCATCCAAGGCGATATGTGATAAGTACCCAAGAGTGGACCAGACATTTCCCTGACGGCAGTTGGAGCATGGGGATTTTAAAATCAGACTTTCCCCACCACAACTTCTGTATTCTGAGCTGAACCTGAGCTGAACGTTAGACTTTGAACTCCAGTTATTTATGACCCTGTCCTTGTCTTCTATGAAACAGGCAACTAAGTTCCTCAGAGCCTTCTCAGATAGCACCTAGCACAATGCCTGGAACATCATAAGTGCCCAGTAAATAATAAATGTATACCTAAGGCCTGATATTTACACCTAATATCAGTTATCTCATACTTAGATTTCTTATGTGTACAGGATAGATCGTGAGTGCCTGCTCAGGGCAATTCTTTTGTTATTATCATTGCTTTTGATACTTCTTTCTAGAAACATAAAACACAAACATCTCTGTACTGATGCCCTTTGACAGCTTACTTTTGGAAAGAGGATGGGGAAGAAGGTGGTAAGACTCTGTTTAAAGAAAGCTCAAAGGATTATAGAGACAGAAGTGAATCCTGATCCAACCACTGACAGATGTTCTGTAATCGCTCCTGGCAGCAGGAGACACGAAGACAGCTGAATTTCTTTGATGGCTACAGACCTGCCCGAATGTGACAAGGAGAACCATTCATTAAAGCCCCCAAACCAGCTCCAGGGTTCCAGGGTGGGTCTGCCTCTCTGGACCAGAGGCCTGGAAGATTACCTTGATGGCCACATTCATTTGGCAGAAATGAGAAGGCACTGAGCTCTCCAGCAAGCCGCACCGAGTGGCTGTGTTTGTTATCTTCTGGCACGTGCAGTTCTGGCTGGCTGGCTTTCCAGCTTGCTCTGGCACTCAGACCTGGCATTTCAGAAACTACTGGCAGCAGATCTTGGAATTGGTACCTTTAAAAATAAAAGTAAGGAAAGCTAATATTGCACTGGCAAAGCTCACCTGAGGCCATCTCCATCTGTCGTTCCCTCCCTTTATGACTCTCCATTTTCACTTTCTCTCTAGCAGTCAGAGCCCCTGCTGTCCTTCCATGCCCTCCCTGGGGACAGTACTGTGGACGGTCTTCCACCATTCCCTCAATTATGACTTCCTCCTCCACAGAGTCTGACAGCTGGGAAAGGCAGCTGAAGTAATTTCCATAAGGTTGTCAACTGAGCCTGGGCTGGCTGGGAAGATGGTTTCAACATGAAGGGACAAACCTGACTCCCTGCCGCAGATGAGCAGAGGGACTGTGCAGAGCATGTGATGGCCATCTGAGGCAGCAGAACTCTGGCCTCCACCCACAGCCCAAGGGGGGCCCAACAGAAACAGTTGTGGGATACTGGGCCCTTCTTGCCACTCTCCGGACATCAGCTAAGTTTCCTTAGTTACAAATAATGGATACTAAGTATGTAAAATTAAAAAAAAAATTTACTGAAAGGATACAGGCTAGCTCACAACATCAAAAGAAATGCTGAATCCCTTAGTCTTAGAAAGGGCAGGAAGAAGGGAAGATCTTGGGATCAAGATAACAGGGCTTACAGTACAGATTATCCTTCAGGACATTTTCTGTCCAGTATCAAGCTGTTCAAGATTCCTGGTGAAGGCCAAGCATAGTGGCTCATGCCTGTAATCCCAGCACTTTGGGAGGCCAAGTCAGGTGGATCACCTGAGGTCAGGAGTTTGAGACCTGGCCAACATGGTGAAACCCCGTCTCTACCAAAAATACAAAAATTAGCCAGGCGTGGTGGCAGCTCCTGTAGTCCCAGCTACTCTGGAGGCTGAGGGAAGAGAATCGCTTGAACCCGGGAGTCAGAGGTTGCAGTGAGCCAAGATTGCATCACCACACTCCAGCATGGGCAACTTCGTCTCAAAAAAAAGAAAGATTCCTGGTGAATCTATTTGACTATGTTGGGATAGTGACCCAGTAAAGCCAATTAGATTGGCTTAATTTGATTGCCAGACCCACCAAGACTTTACAGAGCATGGGGAAGGGCTTGATCTACCAGGTTGAAAGAACAACTAGGTGGTCAAAACAGCCGGTGTCCACCTTCAACCGAGAGAAGCCCCTATTCCTCTCTTCTTTTCTTTCTTTTCTCTTTTCTTTTCTCCCCTCCCCTCCTCTCCCTTCCCCTTCCCTTCCCTTTTTCCCTTCCCTCCCCTCCCCTTCCCCCCCTTCCCTTCCCTTCCCTCCTTTCTCTCTTTCTCTCTCTTTTTCTTTCTTCTGAGACAGGGTCTCACTCTGTCACCCAGGCTAGAGTGCAGTGGCGAGATCTCGGCTTGCTGCACTCTTGACCTCCCTGTGATCCTCCCACCTCAGTGATCACCGAGTGATCAGTGAGCTAGCTCAGTGATCCTTCCACCTCAGCCTCATGAGTAGCTGGGATTATAGGCATGCAGCACCAGGCCAGGCTAATTCTTGTAATTTTTATAGAGACAGTGTTTCACCATGTTGGCTAGGCCAGTCTTGAACTCCTGAGTTCAAGCAATCCTCCCGCCTAGGCCTCCTATAGTGCTGGGATTACAGGCATGAGCTACCGCACCTGGCCTCCCTTTTTTTCCCACACCTGTGTTTGCTCTAACTTGCCAACAACTCGATTTTACTGCGAGAAAAATGGCGGAAGAGCTCAGGAAGCCAAGAACAGGAAGGGACTTGATTACTGTTTGCAAGTAGTTTAGCTATCAAGAGGTGAGTCCTGGAGCAGATTTCTGCTCCCCTGAAATCCAGAACAGAGGAATACCATTTACCAAGCCAAGAACCTGAGTCACCCACAGTTCTCCATTGCCTTCCCTCTTCCCCACAAATCAAATAGGGCATCAATTTATTTAATTTTATCCCCCAAACATCTTTCATTTCTATACAATCTGTCAAGCCTCAGCTTTTCAGCTGCCCAGGGCCAGAGCCTCCTAACCAGTCTCTCTGCCTCCTTGAATAGTTACTGACTGCAGCCAGAACGATCTTTCGGAAACCTAAATCAATCAAGATTCTCCGTCTCAGGAGCTTCTGGCTGCCTATGAGACAGAGTTAGCCTAAATGTAGGGCCCTTGTGATTTGTCTGCAGCTCACTTCTCTTGGCCTTCTTGTGAGATTCTTCTTTCTTTACAACTTTCACATTGAGTTTCTTGAAAACACTATTAGTGCCAGCCGACTGTTTGCAATGAAGAGGTGGGTAAAAGAAGTATCATCTTCATAAGGAGGTAACAAAGGTTAAGTGAGGGTGTGAGAGGGAGACCCTAGTCTGATAGAGCTGGTGTCCTTACGAGAAGAGAAAAAGACACCAGCGCTTTCTTTTTCTGCCATGTGAAGACACAGCAAGAAGGCTGCCATCTGCAAAGCAGGAAGACAGCCCTCACCAGAACTGCCCCTGCCAGACCTGTATCTGAGGCTTCTGCCTCCAGAAGTGTGAGAAAATCAATTTCTTTTCTTTAAGCCACCTGGTCTGTGATATCTCTTATAGCAGCCTGAGCAGACTAGGGCAGGGGCATACCCTGAAATAGTCTGCAAAAACCTTTACATCTCTTTAAAAGTCTTTTTTAAATTTTACTTATCTATATTTATTTTTTTAGAGACGGAGTCTTGCTCTGTCACCCAGGCTGGAGTGCAGCAGGGCAATCAGGGCTCACTGCAACCTGGAACTCCTGGGCTCAGGTGATCCTCCCACCTCAGCCTCCCAGGTAGCTGGGACTATAGGCATGCACCACCATGTCCTGCTGGGTTTTTTTTTGTTGTTGTTGTTGTTTTTTGTTGTTGTTGTTGTTTTGTGTGTGTGTGTGTGTGTGTGTGTGTGTGTGTGTGTGTGTGTAGGAGCGGGGGTATCACTATGTTGCCCAGGCTGATCTCAAACTCCTGGCTTCAAGTGATCCTTCTGCCTCAGCCTCCCAACATGCTGGGAAGTCTTTTGTTTTAGAATAAGTTTTGATATTCTTGCATCCTGCCTCATAGTAGCCTTACTGGCTTTAATAGAAATGTGTTATTTCCAATCACACATACAGTAAATCAAGCCATAGTGACCTGCTGACTTCTAGTATCCCCAGCCTGCCATGCCTTACCTTAGGGAATTTAGAATCCAATTTCAGAGTCCTCCTCAGTCATTCCCATGTAGAGCCTTTTGGATACTCTACTCTTTGCTGAAAAATTCTCCCCCAACTCCCTTTTGTCCATTTGGCAAAGCCTATTAAAAAAAAAAACAAAACTCCAATGATCACTTCCTCTTTTAAGATACTCCTAGCCCCACACCTCAATGCAGAGCTGACGTCTTCCTTTATGTGCTCACTGTGCCTTCTGCAGATGTATTACTTGCCCTTTATTAGTTGCATATATGTCTACATGTTTACATGTATATGATGTCTCCTGAATTGTAAGCTCTCTGAGGCCAGGCAGGAGGTCTGATTTATGAATGAATCCCCACAGCCTAGCAGAGGGCCAAGCAAAAAGTATATGCTTGGTAATTGTTGAAGCGTGAATGAATGAAAGAGTGAGTGAACGAATGAATGAATCACAAAGCAACTTAAAGCAGAGGGATTTTTCTGGGATGTGTTTGAAAATGGTAATTAAATGTTGAAATACAGACAGTCCCTGATTTCAGATGTTTAGACTTATGATTTTTCAACTTTACAATGGTACAAAAATGATACAAAGCCAGTGGAAAGTGGTATGATACTCTTTCATGATCATGAGGGTAGAGAACCGATATTCTACAGTGAACTGTGTTGCCAGACAATTTTGTCCAGCTGTAGGCTAATGTAAGTGTTCTGAGCAATTTAAAGTAGTGAGGCTAAGCTACAATGTTCAGTGGGTTAGGTGTATTAAATGCATTTTTAGGTTACAATATTTTCAGCTTACAGTGGGTTTACTGAGAGGTAACCTCATTGGAAACCATGGAGCATCTGTATCCCCAAAGGCTGACAGCAAAACCTCCACGGCCGTAGCCACTCCACTGCCTTAAATAGGGCTGGGGACTGGTTAGAGGGTCTCCTGAGATTTCCCCAACTCATTTTGTGTAAGCCTGTTCTTCAACACCTCACTGCATCTCTTGTGGACCCCCGCCCTTCACCCCCTCTGAGCTCTCTCTACTTTAGTTGAGTTGCTATGTAGCTCATGCTTGGACTACCACATTTATTTCATAATTAGACCACCTGCCTAAAAGTACCTCTCTCTTCTGAGTCTACATATCATCTACTGATTACTTAGAACTCCTGAGGTACTGACTCAGCCACCACACTTTTTCACGGATACATGTTAGGTGGTTTTGTGTGGAAATGCCTGTGTGTCTGTGCATGTGCGTGTGTGTGTTTCCCACCACTCGAATGTAAACTGTCTCTGCGTCTTGCTCAGCTCTTGGCACCTGAAGCTGAATCAATATGACAGGGCAGGGAAGGAGGTTGGCAGCAGACAGCTCTGCAGGGCTCTCCCTGACCTCCTTGGCTTCATTTCCCACTGCTCCAGGTGTCCACTTCTCTCTGTCACAACGTTTGCTCCTGTCAGCTGATGCACTCATGACAACCTGTCAGGCTGGGGGTAATGCCCTGCACCAGGGCACAGCAGTGGGAGAAGGAACCCAAGTCTTGACGATTTCACAGGACAGCCATTTTCCTTGAAGCCTGATAGAACCAGTCAGAATCCTGTTCCTTTCTTGGCTCCTCCAGAATAGAAACTGTGTATATACTCAGGAATATATTCTAGCTAGTGGGAGATTCTCATTTTCTTTCTGAACAACAAGGATGTTATAGTAGAGAGGAAAAATAGGCAGAGAAAGGACCTCCAAAGAGCCAGGATGTCCTCTCAGGCACTCCGTTTCATGCACACATAAGGGCCAGGGAGCCCACAGCTTGCATGGCCACTAAAATGGAGCCACAGCACAGTTCTCAGCAATATCCTGCCCAGAGGGCTGCAATGGCATAGTTGGACAGAGACTGCTTAAAATATGCAGGTGGTGAGTAGTCTCTCCTTCAGAGCAGAGTTCATGGCCACGACCATTTCTCACTGTCCCAGCCATTCCTACTGCCATCTGCCAAAAGGGAAGAAAGAGAAGTTATTCACAGACATCATCACTTGCCCAGCAACTCAGACTCCCACCAAATAAGGCAGCCAAGACAGCACCTACCCTGGGACTGAATTAAAGAGAAGAATTTAAGAAAAAATAATTCTCCTAGATGGCAAGACCCACAATGCTCTGGGGCACATCTAATTAACTTACAGCCTCTGATGTCAACAGCTTCCAAGGCTGGTGTAGTGCATTTGCAAACACATTCCAGAAGAGTCAACGTGATCTGGTGTTGACATAAGCCCATAACTGTCAGAGGCAGTAGTTTTCAATTTATGGATGCCGTAAAGCTTTGGCAATATGATTGCTACAATGTGTGATGTGTTTTTGACAATAAGCAGGAGGTAGGGGGTTGGGGAGTATTGGTTCCACATTTGGCTATGGATGTAGGCTCATAAGGGAAAAACCTGTAGTCATTTCTGCTATTGCAAAGCAGCTACAATAATGGCTCTAAACAATGAACCTAGGAATGTTATGTGGTTCTTTACTAGGAAACTCTGGACTTCTACATCAGCTCAAAGGTACATTAGTCATTCAACACACATTCAATACCACCTACCCTATGTAAAGCACATAATGCAGAATAAGTACAGAGTACAGTGGGAGCACAAGAAATGGATGGTAGGTTTAGCTCCAAAGGATTCAGAAAATGTCAGGTCTCCTTACTCCAAGAACCCTCCTAAGAAGAACCATGATGGAAGGAAAAAAGGAGAGGGGTGGTGACCACAGTTGTCATCAGCCTTTGCTTCTATCCTGACAAGATGTGAGTGTCCTTAGATGCAGGTATGTGAGACTTGTTCATATTGTCAGCAATAGAGGGAGTGACTTTTTCATGGTCTAAGACACAGATGTGATACTAGACTTGATTATTGACCAAAATAAAACATCACCAAAACATGCTTCATTTGTTATCACTTACAAGGCCAACATTTGGATGTACTCAGAATCTGGAGCTCAAGGGTCTGAATAATACAGTCCCAAGCTACAGCAGAAGAGTGCGTGTGTGTGTGTGTGTGTGTGTGTGTGTGCATGCGTGTGCATTGTATATGTGCATGCATATGCCTAAGTGCTGGTCTGAAACTCTCTAAATGAATTCCTTATGGTTCTCAAAAGCAGAGGCAGCTGGGTTATTAGAAACAATGCAATTAGCAGATATTTACTAACCACCTACAAGGTACCAGGTATGGTGCTAAAATGGAGGGGCTAAGGGACAAACTGTGTGGCTCTCAGAAGTTAGCGTACTTTTGCTTAAGAACAGAAAGTGGATAATATATTAGATCCACATTCACAGACTCATGCCAGGCAATTCCAACTAGGAAAGCCTTTTTAACTTTTTTTTTTTTTAAAGTTGCCCCTACACACCTGTTACGCTGTCTGAAATAAAAAAACGCTGACAACGTCAAATACTAGCAAGGAGTGGAGCAACAGGAACTCTTACTCATCACCAAAGAGAATGCAAAATGGTACAGAAACTTTGAAAATTGATTTGGTGATGTCTTACAAAACTAAACATACTCTTACCATATGATCCAGCAATACTGCTCTTTAGTATTTACCCAAAAAAGTTGAAAACTTATGCCACAGAAAAACCTGCTTGTAGATGACAATGGCAGCTTTATTCAGAATTACCAAAACTTGGAAGCAACCAAGATGTCCTTCAAATAAGTGAACAGATAAACTGTGGCATGTCTAGACAATGGAATATTATTTAGTGCTAAAGAAATGAGCTATCAAGCCATGAAAAGACATAGAGGAACCTTAGATGTATATTACTAAGTGAAAGAAGCCAATCTAAAAAGGCTATATATTATGCAATTCCAACTATATGACATTTTGGATAAAGCAAAATCATGAAAGCAGTAAAAAGATTAGTGGTTGTCAGGGGTCTAGAGAGAGAGAGGAATGAATAAGGAAAGCATAGAGGATTTTTAGAGCAATAAAATTATTCTGTACATACTATGATGGTGAATACATGTGGTCTAGTCCATTTTGTGCTGCTACAACAAAACAACTGAGTCCAGGTAATTTAGAAACAACAGAAATTTATTTCTCACAGTTCTGGAGGCTGGGAAGTCCAAGATCAAAGTGCTGACATCAGGTATCTGGTTAGGACCATCTTGCTGAATCTTCCAGAGGTAATGCTATTTCTTTATATGGCAGAAGAGCAGGAGACAGATAATTCTTTCCAAAGGCCCATTTTATAAAATAATCCGTTCAGGAAAGTGGAGCCTCATGACCTAAACACCTCCCATTAGGCCCCATCTCCCCACACTGTTGCATTGAGGATTAAGTTTCCAACACCTCAATTTTTGGAGGGGACAAACACATTCAGACCATAGCACATGTCATTATGTATTTGTCAAAACTCATAGAAAGCACAACACTATTGTAAACTAAGGGCCTTTATTGATAATGATGTGCCATTGTTGGTTCATGAGACTGTAAGATGTTACAGATGTTTCACTGGGGTGTCAGACGTTAATAGCAGGGGAGGAAGTATATGAGAATTCTGTATTTTCTGTTCAACTTTGCTGTAAACCTAAAATTGCTCTGAAAAATAAAGTCTACTTAATAAATGAATGAATGAATAAGTAAATAAATGACAAAAAATGGCATTCCAACCTGTGGGCAGTTGTAGAAAGAAATCAATGGATCTGATAATTAAGTTACTCAATTAGTGCCCTGAGCAGATTTCTTAGGTTCTTTTTGACATGAGAATATCTTACATTTTTATGCTGACATTGTTCATCCTGTGACTCCATAGACATGTTCAGACAGGAATAGTCCCATACTTGGGGCTTTCTGGATGACTCCAAAGATCCTGTCTCCAGCCCCAGAGTGTGAACTCTTTGAAACTGGAACCAGACAAGGTCAGCACAGAGAACTGGTGCATGAGAAGCTACTGAAGACAGGTACTCTCAGTGTTCTGTGAACATGAGGAATCATGTAAAGGAGTGAGAATGCTTTTTATTTTTAATTTTTGAAACAGGATCTCACTCTGTTGCCTGGGTTGGAGTACAGTGGTGTGATCTCAGCTCACTGCAACTGCTGCCTCCCAGGCTCAAGAGATCCTGCCACTGGCACACACCACTATGCTTGGCTAATTTTTTAAGCCCTTTTGGAGAAATGAGGTCTCACTCTATTGCTCAGGCTGGTCTCAAACTCTAGGGCTCAATTCATCCTCCCGCCTAAGCCTCCCAAAGTGCGAGGATTACGGATGTGAGCCACCACACCCAGCTAAGTGAGAATGCTTAAGCAGGCATAGTAACATGACTCTGATACATTTTTTTAAAAAAGAAACTTACCAGCCAGGCACAGTGGCTCACACCTGTAATCCTAGCACTTTGGGAGGCCAAGGTGGGTGAATTGCCTGAGTTCAGGAGTTCGAGATCAGCCTGGGAAACACGGTGAAACCCCGTTTCTACTAAAATAAGAAAAATTAGCTGGGCATGGTGGCATGCACCTGTAGTCCCAGCTACTCAGAAGGCTCAGGCAGGAGAATTGCTAGAACACAGGAGGTGGAGGTTGCAGTGAGCCAAGATGGCACCACTGCACTCCAGCACTCCATCGTGGGTGACAGAGCAAGACTCCATCTCTAAAAAAAAGAAAAAAAAAACCTTACCAAAATGAATAAATGAATGGTCCCAATTCTGCTAAATAGTCAATTTGATCTTAGATGAAAGATTAGAAAGACATGGCAATTATTAACAGCAATTGTCTCATAAAGACAGCTCATCTGTGATTCTTACATTTTGTTTTATGCATCTTGATGTTCCACATTTTCTCCAATAAATAGTATTTTTTTTTAAATCAAAATTGAGAGAGACAAAATATGAGAGACAATGATTGTCCATCAACAGAGTAGTCAATGAGAGTTCTGAGTTTATCAAGATGATAAATGACCAGTAGGAAAACCACACATCTGACCCAGCGGGAGCTTCTGAAGAACTAGGGTACAGTTGGGTTTATTTTACTTTTACTTTTACACACACACGTGTGTGTGTGTGTGTGTGTGTGTGTGTGTAGTTGTTTTTGAGCCAAGGTCTAACTGTAGCCCAGGCTGGAGTGTAGTGGCATGATCTCAGCTCACGGAAGCCTTCATCTCCTGGGCTGAAGCCATCCTCCTCCTCAGCCTCCTGAGTAGCTGTGACTACAGGTGTGCACCACCACACTCAGCCAATTTTTGTATTTTTTCTAGAGACAGGGTTTTTCCATGTTGCCCAAGCTGGTCTTGAGCTCCTGGGCTGAAGTGATCCTCCTATCTTGGTCTCCCAAAGTGCTGAGATTACACACATGAGCCACTGTTTTCAGCTTCTTGGGTTTAAAATAAAAACTGCACATAAGAAGACAAATCTACATGTGCTGTTTGTAAGTCAACTACATGGACCATAGCAGTAAGGACCCGCTTAGTTCTTGTTGGATCCCAGGAGAAGGGCATCAAAAGAGTACAAAGCATTTGAACATGGTAGGTTTTCCCATCAAGGCCCAACCTCTTCATGATGGAAAGAAAAGGCCATTTCCAAAGCTATAAAGGGTAAGAATGACAGTGGATATAGCCCCCAAACAGATACAAATAATACACTTGGATTTATGGACCAAAGGGTTGAGAGTAGGGAGGTGCGGGGAGGAGACAGAAATTAAATAAACCTGAACCACAGCCAGGGATCAAAATCTAACACCTTCCACTTGATTTGATGGCTCTTCCAGGAGCCTGTTAACACCTCATAACTATAACTGAGGCCCACAAAAGAAACCACTCAACAGGGGAAACACACAACAATTCACACACCCCCAAAGTGATCATGGCCTTCAGTGCAGAACAGAGAGGCTCAGCAGTGAAGAAGCAAGGGAAATTGGGGGCATTTATCTAATGTTCCTCAACCTCCTGGGTGTGGGTTGCTTGTTCAAATCCTCAGTTTCATGGAAATGCACATTTCTGCTTTTCAGCAAAGGGACCCTATTTATCTGACATGTAAGGTAGTGGTTTTCTGTATCCCATCTTATGGTCTGGATGAGAACTTGAGAATGGGCTGTGAGTTTCAACCAAGAGTTGGATCCACTGAAGTGCCGCCACCTTAGATACTGCTAACGTGGTAAGACATATCCTGAGTCAGGGTCACTGCTGACATCAGGCCTTTCACAGTCAAAGGGTCCCTTGAAGTTCAGATCAGTGAGGTCATGCAGGTTTTGTTCCCATCCTAACCTTTTTTAAAAACAAAAACTAGAGTTTAAAAATTCCCAGAAGTTGTATGAATTGGCAGGTAGCATAGGTTAGAGGAGGTGTGGGACTGGGCATGTATTTAATAATAGCCTTTGTGGGAGATTTTTATAATATATGAATAACTTTGATAATCACATTTCATTCATTCCTTACCAGGAAGCTAAATAGTAACATTGCCACTCCTATTTTACATGAAGAAACTGAGTCTGAGACAGAATGACTTGCCTAGGATGGTAAGCTAGTAAGTGACAGAGCTGGGATTTGAACCCAGATCTTTTCACTCAGTTCATATGCCTACCCTAGGGGGAAGTACTACGATCCTATAGCTACAAAGGAACTTCTAAGCAAGGCCTGGGAATGGAAGCCTGAAGTGACCAAGAGCCTTTTCAGGATAGGGATCACATCCTGTTTAGCATGTGTCTCATCACAAATGGTGAACAAAGGAGGAAGAGGGGTCATGATGAGTATAGCTCTCAATGGAATGCAGTGCTTACCCACAGACTGATGGCTTGGGGTAAATCAAAATCATTCCCATGATGGGCTTTATCAGAAGGCAAAGCAATGAAACATCTTAGAGCATCTTCAAGGGCAGATGCAGAATAGAGACTGTAGCTGTGAGCATATGGGATCCTCCCTCCTCACCCTTTGAGGATTTTCACAAACGTTAGGCTACTTCTGGGGTCAGAGCTTGGGCAAGCAAAAAGGAAGAAGGGAGACTTCAGCCATTAACTATAGAAGGTGATATTTAAATTACCTATGTTTTTAAAGAGAATCATCCCTATTTTTGCACATCAATCTGTAGTGGTCATCTTTCTAAATCAGTAAATATATAGATCGATATCACCATGGTTGATAGCTGCAATGTTCTCCACAATATACCAGAGCACAGTAATTTACTTAACTGATACCGCATTGGTGGACATTTATGTTGTTTCCTACTTTTTGCTATTACAACGATGTTGCTGTGTACATCCTTGCAAAGACAGATTTTCTGAACTTAAAAAGAGCGTCAGATGGTCAGAAGAGGAAAGGTGGCTTCCAGTTGGGGAAGGAGAGTCGAGGCAGGCTTTGCAGCACATATAAAATCTGAGCTGGATTGAAGGCTGGGTAGAGGATGTAAGATGAGGATTGGGGAGAAAGGCAATCAAGGTGGCCAGGTATGGTGGCTCACACCTGTAATCCCAGCACTTTGGGAGGCTGAGGCAGATGGATCACCTGAGGTCAGGAGTTCAAGGCCAGTCTGACCAATACAGTGAAACCCCATCTCTACTAAAAATACTAAAATTAGTCAGGCATGGTAGCACACACCTGTAGTCCCAGCTACTCAGAAGGCTGAGACAGGAGAATCACTTGAATCTGGGAGCTGGAGGTTGCAGTGAGCTGAGATCACACCACTGCAACACTGCACTCCAGCCTGGACAACAGAGCGAGACTCCAGCTCAAAAAAAA